GGCATTTCATTCATGGCGTAAGCGCGAGAGAGTGAGAGAGCGCAAGCCCTACAACGCCAGCCAAAGTGAAGGAGAGTGAGTGCAAGCGAGAGAGCGAGAGTGGGAGATTGGGGATAGCAGCTGTGGAGAGGGCGGCCGAATAATAGCGTCGCACGCACCGCAAAAGGTAGTTATGTTGTTGTTGTTATATTGTTGTTGTTGTTAGAAAAGAAAGAAGAAAAGAAAGAAAGCATTTTCAACACTATCTCCGGCCCAGAGTGTTCTTTGGCATTTTGGGTGCCCCAACCAAGAACATGTAAGGTTTTTTGTTTTTTGTTTTTTATTTATGTTGCGTATGCAAAGCAGCTTTTCTTGAGCTCTGCCTCGAAGCTGTTCTTAAGCTGCGGGCGCGGCTTATGCACTGAGCGAAAGTGTTGTAAGAAAAAAAAAATGCGAATTTTAATTTGAATAGTTTAAATTGATATAAGAATGTTATTGTATTCATTTATTATTGTATATATTTAATAATTTTTGAGCAATTTATATTTTAAAAATTCAATGAGTTATATATTTATTATATTATTGTTATTATATTATATTTTATTATATATAATTATATATTTTTTTAAAATGTTTAATTAATATTTTCGGATACCTCCTATATCTACTATTTTTGTAAACAATTTTTATTCTGTTGTATATATGAAAAGAAACTGAGTAATATATACAATAAAAATTAAAAATTAAATATTGTTTGATAAGAAAACACTTATTTTATATACATATATTCTTATCAAACAAAGTGTTATATGTATATATATATATATATATATATATATATATATAAAGTCATATATATATTTATATATATATGACTTTAACCGACAACTTCCTGTCTGCTCTACACTCAACAAAATAGTAGTAATTTCAAGCTAACATGTATTGTATTTAATACAAACTAGTCGGCTTTTCAATTTTTCTCAGTGTACGTCCGAGTATCTTGTGGGCATATGAATTATTATCGGTGTATCTGTGACTCAGCTGCAAGCTATTCGAACTTACTTTGGTTGCTGATGTGTTGCTGTTGTTGGTGTTGTTGGTATGAGTTCAGCCTGAAAGTGCATTCAAAAGTTTATTGTCTGCCTTTTTATGGGTTTATTAACTTTGTTTGGCATTTTGCGTATGTCACGGCAGCAAGCCGCTCCGATAAGAGGCTAAAAGCGTTGACTAAACTCCTTAATAGACGCCTTTGTTGCCTTTGAGTGTGTCTATCACACACTTGTCGGCCTTTACGTATATTTTATGTATAATTGATATCAGTTTTCCTGCACTTTTGCTAGTCGACAAACAATTTGCAAAGTTAGTTCAAGCGATAAAAATATTTTTAAATTTTTATTTTTAAATTTTTGTTATTGATTAGATAATTGGGAGATTAAAATCAAGATATTATGAAGAGAGAAAATATAGATAGAGATAGGGACGGTGACTATAGATACACTCGAGTGCACTCCAAGAAAATTGTAAGTAAGTAATAATAATAAATAAATGCTACAACAATCAATTCTACTACAGTAAAAGAAATACTCATAAAAAATATATATCTAGAAATACTACTACTACCAAATATACTTAAAAGTTACTACAATTTCCAAAAATACTTCTACAAAAAAGACAATGTTAAATATACTACAATAGTAGTAAAATAAAGTACTCCAACGACCACTACTTAATCGACTGTTAATTTGCCTCCATTTGCATGAGTCGAAATCGTATTCTTCTATGCGTCCATCTAAATAAATTGTCAGATTTTCTATCTGCTTTAATTTCGAATGAGGGCTACTGCTTTGCATAAAAAAGAGAAATTAGCAAAACACATTATTTTTAACTGGGACAATAAACTCGAAATTGTGGTAATTTATGCAGGTAATTGAGCGAGTTTTCGCACGTAAATAAAAGCAAATACACAAATGTGAATATATGAATAAGGTGTTTGTATATAAATATATTTGTACAACAATGCGTTGTATTTCATTTGTAAAAAAAAAAAAAAAAAAAAAAAAACATTTGAACATACATTCAAATGTTAGATGTTGTTTAGCTATATATATGTATGTCTAAGCTTCTGAAGAATATGCATGGTATCTCGATATACCATCCATAACTGATCAGAGAAATTCTGCTTGTACATTTTGAACGTTTAAGAATCTTGACCCATTTGCAATTCTCATTTATTTATTTCTATAAATCAAATCAGTAAAGTACCAAAGCAGCATATTACTTCTTAGATATCATTATCTATATACGAGAATAATCAAACTTATTAAAGTAATTTATGTTTATAAATCAATGTCTTTTAGTTATTATTCAAGGCGAGACGTTGCTTAAATTTATTTATTTCTCTCACTAAACTCTTAATTACTATTTGAGAATTCATAAAACTTTCAGTATGACCTAAATCTGATAATCAGTTTGCATTTTATTACGCTCTAAATGCGTTTGTATTCTCTCTTGCTGTTACTTTTATTCAATCCATAAATATTGAAGAACGTGAATAACGTATACTTAATATAATTATGGCTTCTCTTACAGTTCTTCTTCATTCTAATATCTCGAGCATAATTAAGGAATTTTAATGGGCTTTAGGCATAGCAACTGGGCGTACAAATAGCAACAAATAGATCATTCATTAGCTGTAAATGATCTGAGTCATCTGTAGCTACGTTTGTTGTGCCGGCTTTTTTTATTTCCCATACAATTTACGTTAGATGAGCTCGTAGTATGCAGCATATACGAATGACTAATACCTGCCCACTTAGTAGATTATAATACAGCCACAAGACTTCCCTCTCTCACTCTCTCTCTCTCTTTCTCTCCCTCTGCTTCGCTCGCCCTGTCTTTACTTTTGCTTGATAAGTTAGTCGCTCTCTCGCTCCCTCTCTGATTCACTCTCTCATACAAAAATGGCCAAAAAAGTTTATCAGTTGCTGTCGCTTTATCTACGTAAACCCACCTGTCGTGGTCAGAGAGCCCTATCAATAGACCTCATACATACATATATGCACATATAGATAATATGCACTTCCTTTTACGCACTAATTAACCAATACTAGAACAACTGATATGTGTGCAGCAACGCGTCATCGGTTCGAGCCCAATGGGAAGTGAGTAACGAAGTTGGTAATGTAATGCCAGGTAAAACGGAAGTGCACGAGAATGTGGAACCAAGCAGAGCAGAGGGGGTGGCAGAGGCAGTGCAACAGCAATTGCACTTAGCTGCGCTGCGCTGCTTGCGTCGCTGCTGCTGTTGTTGCGGCTGGCTGGGCGCATGCAGTTGGCAGCGACTGTTGAGTTTATTGGCCACAAGAAATAGCGATAGTATAAATTGTTGTTGTTGTTGTCGTTGTTGTTGCTGTGGCAATTAGGCATTCATGAAAGCGTGCAGCAGCAACACTTGAATCGCATTCGGATTCGAATTCGAACTCCGTTTCGGAGTCGAAATCTTTACGCGCCGTTGCATTATTTTCGCACTAATGAGCTTTGCTTTACGGTCTCTTCACGCTGAGCCATCATCAAAATGTTCTAATTACAGGTAAACTTATAAAAAAAAAAAACATATCTTCAAGCTCTTTTTCAAGAAGCCAACTGTGAAGCTGCTTCACACACACACAAACACAAACACTCGCGCGCACACTCACACGCTCTGTATCTGTGTTGGCCTTTGTGTGGCTTTTGGTTAGAGTCGTCATTGGTAGTATTGGTGTATTTGGTAATAGTCGACGCACAAACACAACCTCACTTTTTTCGCAGCACTTTTTTTGCTTTGCTCACTTTGGTGAATGCAATTTGCAGCACTTTACGCACTTGTTGCGTTTGCCGTTAGATTTTTGTTATGTTTTGCGTATTGATTCGCATCTTTTTGAATTCAACAAAACGACGCTTTCTGTTGGCTTTAAGGCGCGGTCATTGGCGATCACACTTACACATATACACACTCCCTCTCACACAGACGCGCTCTTCCACTTGTGTGTGTGACAACAGAGAGAGAGAGACATAAAAAGCACCGTTGAGATCAAAATTTGCTTGCGTTTTAGCGCGCACACGTCTGCTCGGTCGCGTCGTCGAACACCTTCTGAGCGCACTGAGTCGCCCAGAGAAGCTCCACGGTCAAATCTCGCTCGCTCACTCACTCTGCCCTCTCCCTTTCTGTCACAGCTCTAGGTGCGCGGGGTGAAGCTTTGCGCGAGCGAAACGAAATATTTAAAGTTCGCTCGCAGTGGACAAAGCCAAATGTCGCTTCGCTCGCATTGTTGTTGTTGCTGTCGGGTGGGTTTCGTGTTGTTGCTTTTTAGCTCTGCTGAGCTGCTGAGCGTGCGACTCGCAGTTACCTTGGCCGAAATGACAGCAGCAACAACAGCTTTTCAGCTTTTGGGCCATTACCTGTTGCTGTTGTGCGCCGTTTGAATTAACAGTCGCTGTAGCTGTCGCTGCCAGTGAGCTGTGTTCAGTGACCACTGTTAAGTTAACAGACTGATGACTGTTATTCACGCGGCAATATGTTGACTGAGCTTCGGTTGACTTTATTACAATTAAGTAAATGCATAGAATTCGCTATGAACAGAATTTCATTATTAAAATATAGTACATTTATTCATATATTTTAGAATTCACCATTTTCAAATAACTTACATGAAGTCTATTTAATATAATCTGAATTTATTTCCACATAATGAGGTACTCAATATATATTGGAAGGTTGTCGATATTCACTTATACTTCATATAAAAACATATATACCATAAACACTCTAAAATCAATATACTAAACTACTAAACAGAAAAGCATTTGAAATACGTTTACGTCCACTGTGCGCAGTATCTTTAGCATATTTTAAGGCTTTTGTCAGAAAGTTAGTAGAATTAAATTATGTTAAGTGAATTTGGTAATATTTGGTAATTATCATTCTAAATATTCTAGCTTAATATAAGCGTATACATTAAATTAATTTATATGAAACGAACGACTTTTATTTTATTCATTAAATCTATTTATACAAACTCATTTTACATAGCAAAATGTTATAATGGTAAGGAAGCAAATTGAAATAATTTGTTTATGAATTTATGAATCAATAAATGATTATTTCAATGCCAAAGCTAGTTAATTAAATGATTTAATATTAAGTATTGCAGTATACATTTCTTGTTCTATATATGCATACAAAAATATATGTCTAATATGATCCAAGTGCCATTGATATTGATATTTTCATTGCATACCTACGGGCTGTAAATAATTGATCTATGGGCAAATTAAAAATAATATTTTAATCTTCAGTTAGGACTTTTTCTTATATCAAATAAACATTACTCTTTCTTGACTGCTTTAATAATTGCCTTACGTTCATTATTGTCATTCTCGGGCTTAGTCCATTTTCAGAAGTTCTGCCTCATTATACTCTATCAAATACTTGCAAATTATTTTATTTTTTTCATTACTGTCCGCGGAAAATGCTAGTTATGAATTCATTTCATACAACTTTGGGGTGACTTCCTTTCGAAGAGCAATAAAAACAACAAGTTTTTGGCATTTCGGCAGAAATTCATTCTCACGTCGAGTCTTTGAGCAGGCGAATCACGTGCGAGGGTCGTTCGATGATATCATCAGATTCGCTCGCATCTTGACTAATATAATTATAGCTGACTTACATTTTTTGTTTTATAGTTAAAGTTTCCTGAATATCTCGGCTCGATGACAGCAATTTACGTGCCACATTAATTGAACTTTCTACGTGTTCGAGTGCGGCACTTGGAGTTGAAATCATGTTCAAGGCGCTGCCTCACCCCGAGCCACAAACGGAAAGAAAAAACCACCAGAGCTAGACGAAACGTGCCTGAAGTACAAGATATTATAGATACATAATATATCGTATAATGTCTGTGACATCGTTTGATTGATTGATTGGATGAATCATCCAACAAAATACACAAAAACTCAATTAATTTCAATGCAAACTTTATTTAAATATTTATTTAGATTTATATATATGTATCTATGTGTATATATATATATATATATATATATATATATATATATATATATATTTCTATTAATTGTGGGTGTGTTTCAAAGTCATTTAAAATTCAAGGAAGACCATGGAATGTTAGAAGGTTGTACTAAAACTCTATGAAAATAAAAACTTAAAATCTCTATCAACTAAGTCTATAAAAATTTAACTGCAATTCTACGGCCGCAGCTCGTGTCTGTATTTTTTTTCTCTCTATATTTTTGTTTTGTTTTGTTTTTGTTTCTTGTATGTCCAAGCTTTACTTTTACTTTCAACCTTTATTTCCCTCAGCGTAGATCTTGAAATGATTTTGCATTCAAGATTATCTTACAAATTAAATATAAATTAAAAAAGTTTTTTATTATAAAACTAGTTCTGGCTAAAAATAAGAAGGAGAAACAAAAACAACACTTAGTGTTGGATCTATACTAGTTGGATCTAAACTATCAAGTAGACTCTCTCGTATCAATTATATATGTATAACTAGGTTGAATTTAGATCATGTACTAAGAGTACGCACTAGACTTATCTAACTGTTAGTGTACTAAATGTACTAGAATATTAAAATAGCAGCTGATTTATATGGAATGTGTGTACTAAAGTGTACTAAAAGCACAATGATTCAAATGCAACAAAAGTTTGTGGCACGTCTTAAGCTTATGTTCTAAATAATGTATTGTGTACTAAAAACGATGTATGTATTAATTAAAGTATTTTCTTATTGCCTTGCCTTCAGGCATTGTACTAAAATGTACTAAAAGTGCACTTATGGCTAAATAGCGTTCTGCCCGCCTTAGAGCAGGCCTCAATTCCTGCTTAATGTACTAAAAACTGAAATGCTCTCGATCAGCGTCTCATGATGTCCTCAATGCTGAAGCCCGTGCGTCTGGGTGGTGCCGGTGGTGGCGCCACAACTGGCGGTACACTTGCTGCCGGTGGTGCTGGCTGCGACGCAGGCGGTGGTGCAGCTGGTGCAGCCGGTACCGCCTCCTTCTCTGACGCTGCACACGCTTCCGTTGCACTCGGCTTGCAGAGCAGCTGCCTAGGCGGATGCCGCGACATGTTGATGGCATAGCTCTCCAGATACGAGCGCTGATGCTCCACCAGATCCACCAGCGGTGCTGGCGGCGGCAAAATGCGTTTGCGCACCGGTATAGAGCCCAGGAAGCTGGGCATCGCCTCGTGCGGCGAGTGCAGCGGCTGCGACGGCGGCCGAGCTGGCTCCGCCGAGCTGCCGCTGGTCACGATGCTGGGTGGTGTGGCGGACGCGGGCGTCGTCTTGCTGAGGTTCAGCGTCTTGTGGTGCAGATCGCGGCGCACGTGCAGCATGGGCAAGTAGGGATCCCCATTGACCGGCGGCAGCAAGTGACCGTGATGTGGTGCAGCTGGAGGGCCAGCAGGGCCAGCAGGCGGTGGTGCATAGCGTAGACTGGGCATAAATGTGGCAGCTGGTGGTGGTGGTGCTGCTGTCGCTGTTGCTGCTGCTGTGGCTACTGTAGTTGCCGCTGCATGTGGCGGCTCCTCGCTCTGCCGCTCGCCGTGCGGCCGCATGGTGTAGGTCTCGCCGCCCTCGTGATGGCAGTGGGTGACGCCTTGGCGCTCCGGCTTGCCACTGCTGCCAGCCGCAGCGGCCGCTTGGCCCGCCTTGAAGCGTGCGACAAGCGCCACCTCGGCCTTCTCCTCCTCGGTCTCCGTTTCCAGTTCCTCGTCCTCGGCCAGGTCCAAGGCGCCAGCTTCATGCAGCTCCTCCTCCTCGTCAAAGTCGTCGAATTCCTCCTCGCTGTCCTCGTGCTCGTAGCTGGCGCTGCTGCTGTTGGTGGCCTTGCGCTTGAGCCGCATGCGCTCCGCCTCGTCCTTCTCGGACTTCTCACTGAGCGTGTGCACGGGCGACTGGCGTGGCGAGTCGACTTCCAGCAGGGAGTCCTCCTCATCGCCGCTGAGCTGCCTGGCCTCATCCTCCTCGCCCACGTCCACATAGTCGGCGCTGTTCACCTCGCCCACAGCGTGGGTCAGGGCATGACGCCTCAGATCGCAGTTGCGACGGAATACCTTGCCGCAGGAGGAGCACTCGTACGGCTTGTGATCGGTGTGGGTGAGCAGATGGGTCTTCAAATTCGAGCGCTGATTAAAGCTGCGACTGCACACGGGGCACTTGTGGGGCGACTCCTCCATGTGCAGGATCTTGTGCACGGCGAGGGTGCGCGACTGGCAGAAGCCCTTGCCGCACTCGGTGCACTTGAATGGCTTCTCCTTCGAGTGTATGTACCTGACGGGGGACAGACAGAGAGAGAGAGAGAGAGAAAGAAAGAGAAAGAGATATATAGTAAATTGACTGTGCTCATTGCGTGGGCGTTTTTGGTAGCTGGCAGCTGGCAGCTCAAGTTGACAGTTATCTGCATTATCTCGCTGCCCGCTCAGATAAAGTGCGCTGATATATTTTATGTTTATGGCAGCCATCTTTGAAATGGCGTCCACTTGTTGTTGGAACAAAAGCAACAGCAGCAGCAGCAGCAGCCACAGCAGCAACAGCCACAGCAGCAACAGCCACAGCAGCAACAGCAACTCGCAGCAGCTGCTGTGACTCTTAAATAAAAATCAAAACAGGTTCTACGCCTCAGATCTGTCTTGGGTCCAGCTTGGCACTGTCTCTCGACGGGCTCAAGGCGCACCGAGATTCTTCTTGCTTTTTTCCTTTTAGCGCTCCCTTCACGCCTCTCTACTTCTTCGGCTGCTGCTGCTGCTGCTGCCGCCGCGGCTAAGAAATTAGCCCCGCGGCAAAGCAAACAAACGACAAATGGACCGAAACCGAACGATCAAAAGACGCAAAGCATCTTGGACAGGCTAACACACACACACACACACATATGCACGCTTACACTCACTCACTCTCACATACACACATACAGCTGTCTGCTGCTGCAGGTATCCAATGTTTCGAGTACCCCTTGCCCCTGGCCCGCAGCCCTCATTGCCAGCCCCGCCGCTCCCCAAATGAAAACCAACAAAGTTAATTAACTCGGTCTTCAGGCGGCATGTTCTACCTTCAACTTGGCCAACATGACAGAGTCAACTGATTTTATGAAGCTGTTTGCCTGCTAAGTTTTTTTTTTTTTTCATAATTCTTTATATTATGTTAATTTTTTTGAGTTATACCCAAAGTTCCTCTCTAAAGTAAACCATTCTAGAGACTTCTCATTCCTCTCACTGAAATTTCGCTTTCAACTATATTTATTCCTAGCGGAGATCCACTAACATCAGAGAATCGGAGAGTCTGACACCATCTTCTTCTAAATGTTGTGGCTTCTACTTGTCTAAAATGATAGAATTGCTAGATTTTAATAATCTATTTGGCTACTTTTGAATTTAACTTCTTATTGACTTTGAATTTATTTTATGATTATTATTCTTTTATTTTGTTTAACTAACTATTTATTTTTTTTATACATATATTTATATATTTTTAAATATATTTATATATTTTAAAATATATTTATATATTTTTAAATATTATTTTATATTTCTGTTAAGTTTATTTTTATTTGTTTTTTTGTTTTTATATTTAATTTTTATTTTTATTTGTTATTTTTTAAATATTTTTAAAATATTTTGATTTTGTTTGACTTAATTTTTATTTTCATTGTTTTTTTATTTTTTATTTTTATTTTTTTATTTATTTTATTTATTTATTATTATTATTTTTTTGTTTAAACTATTTTTTGCTGCGTAATAAAAAAGTATTAATCAGAATTGATTCTATCTGCTTGAATCTTCAGCGCCTTCTTTTTCTACAGGTTTTTTTTTCTCCTAGCTATATCCTATATACCTTGTGGTATACCCGCCCAATTCACATCTTCAGTATTCAGAATCTTCTTCTAGGGTATCTCAGCTTCGACTTGACTAATCCTTTTCAAGCACTCGACTTTTGTTGTTCACTTCTCTGCTGTTGCCTCGAGGCATGACAGCAATTACGAGCGCTGGCACGCCCACTGGCTGGTCGTTGCCCACGCCCCAAAGCAGGCACAGCGGCCACTCACCTGTGATCCCTTAGGTGATCCTGTCGCCTGAAAGCCTTGCCGCATATATCACAGGAATAGGGTCGCTCGTCCGTGTGCGTGCGCTCGTGAATGAGCAGATTGTAGGACTTGGTGAATTGGCGATTGCAGAACTTGCAGATGAATTGCTTCTTGGGCCGTGACGCGCGTCCAGGTGCGCGCAGCAGCCGCCTGTCCAGGCCGGCGTGCATGCCCGGTCCCAGGCCGGGCGGAAACAGCGCCGCAGCCGTTGCCGCTCCGGGCGGAAAGGGAAAGCTGCCGGCGCCCGTGGGCGATGGGCCCGGTCCGGTCAGATATGGCGGTGGTGGCGGTGGCCCGTACAGCACACCCGGTGGCGGCACGCCTGGCGGCGGTACGCCCGGCGGCCCGCCCCGTCCCAGCATGGCAGCGGCGGCGGCAGCTTCGCGCAGCGCCAGCTCCTTGCGCTTGTCCGCCATCATGGCGATGATCTCGTAGTTGGAATTGCTGCCAGCTCGCGCCTTCGCCTCCAGCGACTGTCGTGTCGGCAGCACCGGCACAAAGGCCGATATCTCACGGTGATGCGGCGGTCCGCCGTGCAGACCCGACGAGGCCAGATGTTGCTGGTAGGCCAGCTGTGTTTCGTAGGCAGCAGCCGCTGCCGAGATCCTGCTGGCCGAGGAGTTGCGCGAATCGCCGCCGCTGGCCGAGCCATCCG